TTAGTCATGATGCTCTCAAGAAGCTCAACGAAACGCGCAAAGCACTTGAACCACCACCCGAGCCAAGTCCGGCACCAGCTATAGAGAAGCCTGCAGAGAAAGAAGCTTCAGTCAGCGTCAACGGAGATGTAACCATGGTCGACGCCGAGGACGAGGTTCAGGACTCTCATGGAGATGAAATCATGGATTCGGATGGAGAGGCTCCTCCAACTCGATCATTACGCCGTGGATTAGATCGAGCAGCAGAGCGAAAGCGTAAGCGTGAGGCCGAGCAGGAGAAGAAAGCAAAAGCAGAAGCTGAACCGAAGGCTCCTAAACAATCCAAGGCACTCACAAAAGTTCTCAAAGACATTCAGAAATTGCATGATGAGATCAAGCATTGCGAGGAAGAAATTGCCATTCTTGATAATGACCTTCGAGAAGCTGATTGCCCTCGTACTCGTGTACTTGGTAAGGATCGATTCTGGAATCGCTATTATTGGTTTGAGCGCAATGGTATGCCATATAGCGGTCTTCCTACCAGCTCTACTGCTGATGCTGGATATGCCAACGGCTGCATCTGGATTCAAGGACCAGATGATCTTGAGCGTGAAGGTTATATCGAAATGCGACCTGAGTGGCAAGATGAGTATCGTTACAAATTCAACCTGACTGTACCGGAAAGAAAGGTTATGGAGGAAGGTAATACTCACGTATTCAATTCTCGTGAGTGGGGATACTATGACGATCCTGAGTCAGTTGAGGGATTACTCAATTGGCTTGATGCCCGTGGAAATAACGAGTTGAAACTTCGAAAAGAACTCCAACTTTACAAGGACAAGATCACTACTCACATGGAAAAGCGCAAGGAATATCTCAACCCTAGCGATGAAAAGAGTATCGATTCTAGTCACAAGCGAATGTCGACTCGTGGAAAACAACAACCTCATGTTGATCACACAGCTCATCGATGCTTATCCTGGCACAACAATACGGCAATTGAAGAATTGGGTCATTTACATTCGGAGCAACCACGGAATCGTAAGCAAACTAAAAAAGCGGCTCCTATTTTACCACCGGCAGTTGAGGAAGAGAGACAAACCAGAAGCGAAGCGGCAAAGAGACAGAGAAAGCGTTGAATAATAAGTGTTTTACAGTTTTGAGGATGTTAGATCATGAGCCCTCGCAAAATCTACTGCTACATTTTGTTCATGGCTATCTCACATAGAAAACCTTGAGCGTGCATGGAGTTCTATGTATTTGAATTTGGCTTTGGGGGGAGTTTATGGATGGGGTTGTGGGCTTCAAAAATATATTTGAAGTTGGGAAATAAGGAATTCTCAAAAATTACGGAAGCGCGTGCATATATGGTATTTTACAAAATGGATTGGCTTGTATTTAGATGGTTTGTGATGAGGGAAAGCATTGCTTGCGTTGCATTTGAATGGTGTTGGGGGGTTGTATTTTGATGGTTAGTTAGCACTGAGAGCGGTAGGGAAGAGAGGAGAGATTGGAGGTGTGTTTGTATGGAATATTATGTGCTACAGGAGGGGGTGAGTGAGCGAAGAGATCAGAAGAGAGTAGTAGTATAGCGAATGATGCGAATACCCAAAATACATATGAATTTTTTGTGTAAACGGGCTTTTTTCTGTAGGGTGCTTTTGTTTGTATGTCATTGTTTATGGGTGGTCAGATGCGTAACTGGGAAAAAGAGAAATGAAGGGGGTCCATTGGGATATGATAAATTCAGAGATAGCTAGGAAGAACTATATCGGTAAGAAGGAGGCAAGGAGGCAAGGAGGCAACGATAAAACATACCTGCACAATTGAAAACTACCGACTCGAAAATATAGATAGATAGCGTGGAAGGGGAAGAGTTTCTGGGTTTTGTGTGAGATTATAACTTGGCTTACAAGCTAAGCCTGATTCCAAAAAAACTGATTCCAAAAAAAAAAAAACTAAATCGTACTATGATAGATGGATAGATGGATGGATGGGATGATGAGAGAAAGCGAGAAAACTGGGAAGTATTATTTTGATATCATTTTGATTTGATTTTGATTTTATTTTGATTTTATTTTGATTTTATTATGATTTTATTATGATTTTATTATGATTTTATTATGATTTTATTATGATTTTATTATGATTTTATTATGATTTTATTATGATTTTATTATGATTTTATTATGATTTTATTATGATTTTATTATGATTTTATTATGATTTTATTATGATTTTATTATGATTTTATTATGATTTTATTATGATTTTATTATAGATTTGTACCTAGGTAGGTAATAATAATAATAATAAGGTTAGTTGATCCTTGTGATGGATTATATTCTTTTATGTTTTTCTAATACTATATTGATAATTTTTTTGAGAATTGCGAGTTTGGAGTTTGGTAATATGGATTTAAGTAGGATTATTTAGGTACCTAGGTACTTATATATTGAATCTTATGGGGATCTTGGAGATAGGTTTGTGTATGGCTTTCAAATAAGTTCTATTCAGAGCTGTAGGTAGCTATATCAAAAGGACATATCTTATGTTTATCCGAGAAGTATCTTTATAGAAACCATCATGTCAGGATAGATTAACCGAATGCGAATATGCGAGTGGCGATCTACCCAAGGGGGCATTCGACAGCGAGTGCAACATTGGAGACACGAGGGACACTGTATCGAAACCGAGGTATTCGCATAGCGAAAATGCATGGAAACTTATAGAAGACCATTTTTTTCCCGAATGATTCGTAGCACGCTGCGATTGCTACTTCGAGAGATGAGACCGCATGGATATCCATCCATATTCGCAAAGACTCGACGTGATCGAATCTCACCGCCTACCCAGAATACCACTGAGAAACTAATTCCTCCTCCGCATAGCAATTTCGCAGGATGTGGATCGAGATCTATAGCGTCTGCACTAATCACAAATGCCTAGCCACCCATCCATCCACACATTCCTCCATCTCGCCGATTTGTTAGGTACTCAATTCACCCTGCACCATGTAATCGCAGAGCCGCACTTCTTTCCCGATGGCCGCGCGAGTGTCAGAGTTTTGTTGGTCGGCACTGTGAGATTCATATGGATGAGACGAAATGTATCGATATGTAGGTATGTGAAGAAGTGTCGCACTAGCGAGACGGAACTCCGCTTTCCAAGTGAAAGATTTGATGGGGAGTTTGTTTTGGGAAGTGTGATGGGTAGGTAATCTTACATCTAGAAGAAGAGGTGTGAGCTTTGGGGCGGAGAATATGCGGAAATATTGGAATTTGCAGGAGAGGGCGAATTGTATCATGAGATGTGCTGTCTGTCACTTGGGGACACGGAGGAGGCTGATACGATACATAGGTACCTCATTATGTTAGTGGAGAAGAGGAGCTGGTTGAAGTGGGAAAATATTTTCTGGGCGAGAAGTGAGGAGGAAGAGAGTTAAGAGGTATTAGACGGGAGGAATCACGAACAGCCAAGCCATATTCGACGGCACACAGCAGTAGTTATTGCATGGACTCAGAAATGCACAGTATCAAATTCTCGCTAAAATTGCAGTGTGATTGATAACCTTAACCCAGCTTATTTGCAGCCCTCCAGAAAGAAGGATGCCAGGATATTCTTAAAACATATAATACTTTTAATTAATTTTTATACCATAACAAGTTGCGATGTGTGAGTGACATTGAAAGCTGGAAATTGAATGAATGTCTGAAAAAGATGACGTTTGGTATAATGAAATAGTTCTTGAAGAGATTAAGAGATTCCCATGAATCTATATACTCACTGTTGATATTGGATGCTTCAAGGCTAACTTAACAAGTATTGATCAATGTCAATAATCCCACCAAACAATTTTACACTCTTTTATACTACATACACCATTACCCGAATTTCTAAAATTTTGCGCATAGAAAATCTAGTAAGGAGAATTATTACTCTGGGTAGTTTAATACAATGATAGAGGTATTTAATCAACTGAGGTAAATAAAAGGTAACAGGAAAAGAGAAATTCGAAAGCTATTACATTAAAAACATTATAAACATCTATACAATATAAATCTATTTCATAACCTTATAACACCATCCAACTCTGACTTTCACTCTGCCCATAAAATCTCCACATTCATCCGTTACTATCATGAAGATATCTCCGTACCCCACTTCCCTCACCCCGCATCCCGCATTCCGCATCCCGTACTCCGTACCTTGTAAGAGGCACCTTTCCCGTTTATATCATTTATGGATTCGGGAATCTGGAGATCTGGAGATCTGTGGATCGGGAGACGTAGATGCTAATAAAATGGATGTGTGTGTGAATGTGTATGAATACAGGTATTACCATGATAACAATGCTCTCTCGCAAGAATCCTGTGCTTGTTTGATTCAGAGAGTTGTGTGGATATCTAGATATTGAGATGTTGAAAGGGATGAAGTGCATGTTACCGCGAGGAAGATATTTCCCCGCAAAATCTATCTAGCTATCCGTATACCTATCTGAATATTGAAATGGATGAGATGTGTTGCTGTAACGGAGGTTGGACACTTAAGAGGAGATTCGAGATGGGAAGGTAGTAAAAGGAGCAGTGAGAAGAGTATTGAGAAATGTCGTGAACGATGTTGTGGAGAGAGTTGTAAAGAGAGCGTTGAATGGCGCATTGAGTGGAGCTGTGGACCAAACAGTGAAAAGAGCAGTGAACAGATTATTGAGCAAAGCATTCATTATTTAGATGAGATCTATACCAAATAAATTAACGAAGTTCATAATAGAATAGAATTGAATTAAATCGCTTAAGACCATACAACACCCTCTCCCACCACCACGTCCAAACGCACAAACTCCAATTGTGATATCAAGATTTAATTCCAAAACTTTTGGTAGCATTTTTTTTTGGAAACATTTCTACTTCCTTCCTTTATTTTATTGATAGTTTCGACATTCGAAACTCTCTACTGTTAACTCGATAAATCCAAATCCTGCGGGTTCTCTCGAGTTCTCGATACCTCTAAATTCCGCAACAATGACCCACAAGGTTGTAGATGGAGTCGACTTTGGTTACCTTGGCCCCGATTATATGCGTTTTCAATTGCAAAATCAAGGTTTCCCCGTTGATCAAAACATGTTCTCTCATGATCATATGGCAGATGGTGGCTCCCATGATGACAATATGATTTCTCAAAATTCAATGCATGATGGAGGCTCCCCCATCGACGGCGATATGCTCCACCACAATCAAATGCACGATAGTGGCTCCCACGATGACGGCTCCCACGATGACAGCAACACGGTTTCTCAAAATCAAATGAACAATAGAGAGTATGCGATCGACGACGATTTCGAGATGGCTGACGCACCAACTATGGATGGTACCGTCCCTGCCGATGGCACATTTTCTTCACACGAAGAAAACAACGCATATACAGCTGACAACGACATCGAAATGTCAGATGAAGATATGATGGATGATGTCATCTCTGCCGATAACGCTATTTCTCCTCAAGGAGAAGATGGAGAGAACAAAGTCGACGATGATGCCGATGACAATGCGATCAATGCTGCTCCTGTTCCCAATGGTCACAGCACTCAGTATCGCATTATGTTTTCAGTAAGTCGAAATATGCAAAGCCCCATGAGCATGTATGCGCCTTTGTCGAGGAGAATTACTAACTTCCCATAACAATAGGATTTCAACCCTCCTCCCGCTGTCCCAATCGATCCAAGCCAAAGAAGTCCATTCCATGCCGCTCCTCTCGAGATCAAACATATGATCTACGAGTTCTTTTTACCGGGACCAAGAACGGTCAATTTTGATTTAATCCAATCAAAGAGTTCCGGTCGCCGACAGGAGTATAGATTTATTACAATCCCAGCTATCTTTCGAGTAAATGGAGACAGTCTAGCATACTGGAACATAAAGTACGTTACTATCAACAAGCCTCAGTGCGACGCGATGATTAGGTTCTACGGCACTCGCAACCCGAAGCCCTTGATCTTCAACCCTAAGATCGACACTGCGTCGATTACCTTTCTCAATAAAATGCCAGCCTGGGGATACAACGAAACTAAAGAATGGTTGCGACATGTCCAGGGTTTATTGCCCAATGGATTTGCCTGTGTCAGATTTTTAGATATTCGCGAAGTCTCCACTAAAGGTACTAATCTTGATGATTCTGATTTGCAAGCATGTTTCTTTCGCGCGCCAGTTTTGAATGACGACTTCTGGACATGGTTTAGAGGGCTAGAGAAACTTTACTTCACAGCATCCAAGTCGGGTAACCAGTGGAAGCGAATGTTAAAGGAACCTGAATTTGCAAAATTCAAGGACTTTGTTCTCTCATATCGTGCCTCGGGTGTTGCTTTGGGTATACAGAATCCAATTCCAGCCAATAACGTGGTGGTTAGGTCTTTTGTTCCAGCTTGAATGATATATCTGAGATCAAGTGGATTATGGAAGATTGGTAGAAAAGATTGGTGGAGATGGGAATATGCAGGTAACGTGGAAGAAGGATAGTGGTACGAAAAAGCATTGTAGCGAACTCGCACGTTGGAGAAGGCTTGAGCAATAGAGACCGTAAGAATGCTGAGGATTGGCATGAACAGATGAAGATATAATGCATGGGTAATGAGTGCAGAAAGATAGATAAGTCAACGGAATACAAACAAATCAAGAAACAAGAATTTAGTATCGATCCCAGTATTAAAAATGTGTACTTTGCCTATCCTTCAAGCTTGAATTGACCACATTACCACGTCCTGATCCGGAAGGATAATCCCTATGTATAAGATACAGGGCTGATAGTTCAGCACTTGCTCGCAAAGTGAAAAGCATCAAAATTCATTACACTTTGCAATCATTATACCTCCAAACTACATGGAATTATTGTGAGTGGCAGTGTATCCAATATTCTGAACTAGCTAAGTTCAAGCATTCAATGTTTAAAAGATCTGAATGGTCTAATCAAATTCGGACACTTAAAGACACTTGATCTAGGATGCCACTAGTCCTTACACTACAGTTGAAGATCCAAGATTCAACTCTCCCTTGGACCTCAATCTGCTATCCAAAAGAGAAGTAAGCACTGACTCCCTTTTATTCTTCTCTTATTCTCCAGTTCAGCACTTGCTTGATCATAAATAGAAAGAATCACAACTTATGATACGTAGAGGATGCCTGCTACCAAAACTGATTCCTCACCTCTGTCAGGAATCTTCTGCGTCCAGAATACGAGATCTAGTTCACCTTTGACCCATACCCCAATCCGCTGCCAGAAAAAGAAAGTAAGCACTAAGCTCCTCTTATTCTTATGGTTTCCTCCTTCGAATCGTAGGGTTGCAATGCCCCACTCTCTCGCCCATCTCTTGTGTTCACCCTACAATCTCCTCCCTCTCCTCCCTCTCCTCCCTCTCCTCCCTCTCCTCCCTCTCCTCCCTCTCCCCCCTCCCTTCTACCCTTTGCAGCCAAGAATCGATCGTCGCATACACCATCTTTACCAAAACAGTTTCACACACAATATGCGAACCCTCCATCCCTTCTCCTCTCCCCCTCTCTCCCTCTCTCCCATCCTTCACTACCCCACAAATCTTCATCCCCGCCGACTCCGCCCATCCTCGTAACTGGTGCACTCCCTCCCCCTTCCCCCTTCAACCGAACCCTCCTCTCAAACGCGAGCCCCGTACCCAATTCATGCCATCCCATCCCCAGCGCCCCTTTATATCCCACCACCATATCATTCCCCATTCCATACATCTTGCGTACCTTCCACGTCCAAATTTGAATTATTCTTTCATTCTTCCATCCTCTAGCAAATAACAAGTGTCATCACAATATCCATCTCTCTGAACAAATCCTCTCTCCAAAAAGAAATATCATCACAGAAAGAACATCATCCCCTTTGAAGAATTCAAAGAATCAACTTTCAAGGTCGTGGTTAGGTTAGGTTAGGTTAGGTGCAGTGCAGTTAAGTTACAATGACATAAAGTAAGGAGCTCGGACCCCATTTTCTAACCTTAATCTAGGTCACGGGTTCTGGATTTGTCTTGCTGGATTTATCTTGCTGTATTCCATTTGGATAATAAGTAGAGTTTGTCTCAGCATCAATTCTTCTAGGAATCAGTATCATAGAATGAATTCAAATTCACAATCACAATTACACTATCTACCTACCTACCTATCCATCTACCCACCTACCCACCCCAAGCAAATCAAAAGAGAAACAACCTCAAACCTCAATCTATAAAAGAAATACAAAAGAAATACAAAGATTATACGAATATCGTAGATCAATCGATTTAATCTGGACAGCTGGAGTGAGTTAATCTCAAGACTCTCGTATCAATTCTTCAATTCTTCAATTCTTCAGGTTTTCAGTTCTTCAATTCATCAACCCTCCAGAAAGCAGGATAATAGAATAAATGACATACAGGAGACTAGAGTTACAGTTACAATCACAATCACAATCACAATCACAATCAAAGTTATATACAGTTGAACTACCCATCTACCTACCTACCTACCCATCTACCTACCTACCTACCTACCTACCTACCTACCTACCTACCTCTACCCCCAATCCATCTCCCAACTTCCCAAGACATTGGAACTTTACCGAACTGCGAGTACATCATGCATAGCATACATATAGCATACATATAGCATACATATAGCATACATATAGCATACATCACGCATAACATACTCGTACTTGTAGCATACATACATATATAGTAGATATTCATATTCATCTATCTCGGTATACATAAGGTTAACATCACAACTAAAATGAAACCTAGGTACCTAACCATCCACCTATTGATATCCATCCGCATGTACAAATAATCTGAATATCTGAATGTCTTGACTTATTTCATTCATTTATTCATTTATTTATTCATTTATTCATAACTATCGCTTAGCTGATCTGAGCTGAGCTGATGAGTTGAGTTGAGTATATGATCAAAACTAGCAAGAAGCGATATGCTGTTGTTAGCTAAGTAGTAGCTAGTAAGTAGTAGCTAGTAACTGGTAGCTGATAGTGACCTAGTTGTAACTAGAAGTATTCCACCTTATCCCCCCTTCCTAATACCCGACGCCTGACGCCTGCACTTGCTCATAAGATCTCATTGAGTAATAGCGAAACCATCACACTCTATCCCGTCATCGGAATATCCTTTCCGATTGCTACACCAGGTGTTCCTGTTGCAGTCCCCGTTCCCATCCCCGGGGTGCCCATCACCGGTGGAACATTTCTCTCACCACCTCTCAGAAACTTTTCAGGTACTCCTCTCGCTGCCACGTTAGCATTCCCAACATAAGCACCGAGTAATTTACTCCATCGATATTCCCCTCTTAATAATTTCTGGATCTCTTTATATGCATACGAGTTTACGTATGGTAAACCTGTTTTTGGATCGCGGAATTTGGCGGGGTAGTGTGTTATTGCACAGAGGGTGCGTGGGGGGTGGGTTTGTGATTTGGTTTTTGCTAAGGGATGGGGTTAGTAAGGGTGTAAGGAACATGCATAATAGCTGGAGCGGGGAAAGTAAAAGTTGAAGAAAAATTTGATTGGGCGAGTAGGGGGGCTGAAGAACTTACTAGGAGCTTTAGGAAATGTCTGGTTGAAAAGAATCCTCGTCTGTACATCTTTATTCTTAATTTCATCATCATTAAAATTGGTAAGAATTAAGCAATTCCTCAATGAATATTCCGTAACAGGTGGTTGTGGAGGAGGTGGTGGAAGAGGAGCTGAGGCTGGAGAATAAGGCGAGTGATGCTGAGAAGGGGCGAAAGAGAAAGGAGTTGTTTGAGAAGGCATTAAACGAGGATAGTTTGTATTTGGAGGTTGAAAACCGGGGAGGGGTTTGGAACCATCGAGGGATGGAGGTTGAAGGAAGAATGGAGGGACAGTGGAAGGAGCTTGGAGGGGGATGAATGGAACGGCGTGGTTGTGTGATTGGGGAAGTTGGAGAGGTCCGTTTATATGGGGAACGGCACCAGTGGTTTGTTGAGGTGGTTGGAGTCCACTTATATTTGGTACAACTCCGGATGTTTGGTTTGGTGGTTGAAGAATGCTAGTTGATGGTGGAATAGCCGGTGGCTGTGGTGGTTTGAGAACCCCGGTAGGTTGTGATTCTGGATGGGGAGGAGGATGTAGAATGTTATCTGATATTGATTCCTGCTTTAACGAAACTCCATCTTTATTCACATCACTATTAGTGACTCCAGAAGCGGTTCCAGGTGTAGAGTCCTTTACATCGCTCATTGGCGTATCGTTTGTAGCCGAACCTGGAGTAGCAGCTCCTTTCAAGGTAGTTGGTTCTACAGACCCAGCTTCACTCTCTTCCTCCATCTCTCCGGCTTTTCTTTTCTTCGATTTTTCCTTGGGTTCGTCCGGTTTGAGATTCTTTGATCCAAGTGCAATTAATTTCCCTCCAACCCACATCGCACGTCCACTCCACCAAGTAATAACAGGCCCATCCAATTTTCTATTATGCAATGCCGCCAACTTTAACCTCTGTTCTTCTTCCCTTTGTTGTTCTGCTTCTTCCCATCGACTTAGACTCTTGGAATTACTCTTCTCTACCCTTGCGGCTTCTGCCAATCTATCTTCCTGCGTCATGGCCGGTTTCCTTGCGGCTTCCTTTGCTGCAGCTGCTTTCTCCATGTTGGCCAATTGCTTTAACCTCTTCTTTTCCCTATCTATCATCTGCGCGTGTAATTGTTCTTTACTTTTTTGAGTAGTACCACGAGCCGAAGCTCGAGTCGGCGCATCCTCTGGAGTTGGAATCCATGAAGCACGTTCGGACTTTTTCTTCGGTCTTGGAGCCGGTTTCGATGGAATCGTAGGATCGATCTTGACTCTCTTTTTGAATATTTTTGGCATGCCATCAGTCATCTTGCGCTTTTTAGCCAATCGTTCTGCCTTTTCCTTGCGCTGTAACTCTTTCTCCCCTTCGAGATCATCTGCACCGGCTGCAGGTCCTTGATCATCGTCGTCATCGGATGAATCCATTTGAACATCAGAATCGGCCTCCACATCAACAAATCCATGATCTTCTTCATTTTCATCTTCTGCGAATAGAAGCTCTAATTCATCATCTGGTTCTTCTTGTTGTAGTAAAGCATTCAATCGATTTCCTGCAGTCGAACGTTTTTGTCGTGATGTGACCATCCATTCAACCTCTCCTTCTCCTTCGCCATCTCCATCTCCGTCATTTGGTTCGCTGTCGCTACCGCTGTCGTCATCGGACGAATTCTCCTCAGTTCGCATTGGAGTATCCTCATCAATATCGTCGGCCATTTTTGTTGAAATTGTTTTGAATGTGCTATCGCGAATTTGGGTAAATATATTGTCGTCGAATGTTGCGCAAAATGAGTATTCACTACCAGTAGCCACTATATGCTATTTGAGTGCGCGACACTCATCTTGCAATGTTGAAGCTCGATCACAATTATCGTTGTCGAAAATCAATATGGCGGAACAACCTTAAGCCGTACCTTCCCGGTCTCGCTGATAGATCCCCAGAATCACGTGTAAAGATCTCGACCGGTCGCGACGCCGCTTAATGACTAAAACACGAAAGCCACGCGATACTTAGTAAAGCGGCGGCATATAAACAAGAAAAACTTGTAAGAAAGTACCTGTCCTCCTCCGCCAAAAGGGTCACCGTACCGTCACCTAACACCTGACTTGAAATTTCTGCTAGAACACAACCTTAAGGTGATATTGACGTCACATGATCCATTTATTTACAAAGTCTGGTACGAGTTGAGTGGATTTTGAATTTTTGACGTCTCAATCCTTGTTATCATTCTCGCCATCTACCGGAACCAGACTCACAGCCTTGAAGATATATGTACATGTTGAGGACACTTTTCCGAGCCTTTTGATTTATTAATAGAAATCTAGGGAAGTGGTCGGAAGTCTCATAAAACTTGCTCCATGTTTACATTTTATCTGAAAGTCATAGTACCAATACATCATTCATGCAAAAAGACTTCTAGAAGAACTTTCACAGATCTCAAACATTGGCAATTCACGAATATAACGCTTTCTTCAGCGATGATCCCATCCATGGATTATTTTGATACTAAAATACATCTGTATACTCTCTAGCAGCATTTCAGATATCACCGTGACAAGCTAATAAGCCGTATGCGAATCGTCTCCAGGATGAATCTCGCAATGAAAGTTTATGTTCGGTTTTAATTAAAAAGATGTGCCTCCTAGAGCAGACGACAGGGCTGTAGAGCGTTCCGATTGAAGAGATGGACGCGGTTGGAGTTGCTCACATATATGCATTTATTTCCATGCCTGGTATGCAAGCTAACGTTTCAAAATGAATCGAACACCCGAAAAAGATCAATCAGAGACGAGGGATTATGAACATTACAAGCCATGAATATGAAAAGGCCAATCAAAGCTGAGAATGAATCGACCGTCTGAGTCAAAATAAATCAAGGTATAGAAGATCAAGATATTATAAGTGAAGAATTCCGCGCAACCTTTCGGACTCAATTGCCAATTTTTAAGGGGTAAGAGTAAGGTTACGGCATATTCAAGGCGAGGGGTGAACTTGCGAATAGCTTGCGAAGCCCAAGTACCAGTAAGTAAATAGATCGAAGGATCCGAGGAATTAGACTGGACTTTAGTTCTTTGTTTAGCTTCAGTGCGTGCGTGTACCATTGTCATACAAAACAAGCCAAAGATCAATGCATTACATTCCAAAGTTCAGCGCAGTCATGATGGTCGAAGCGATGAAAGAAGATGATGATACCGACCGGGACTTTTTCAGGCATGGTCGGGGAATGGTAAGCATAAAACAAATGTTACGTAGAACGGATTGGGGGAATTCTTCTCTGAACGTATGGGCCAATTCTAAATAGGGGGGGGGGGGGGAGATTTGGTAGGGACGGTTGGTTGTTGCAATACCGTGAAGTTATTGGATGGAAGTCATTGGTGTAAATGCGTAAATGCAGGATGATTGAAATTGTGACACTGCATCAATCCCGTACCTTAAATCCTGAAACAGACCCCAAATATCTGGAGAGGGGATTAGACTGGATAGGGAAATAGAACTCCTCCTCATCCCAAGTCTCTCCAAAGAATGCAGAGACACAGCTAGGATATCTCGGTGAGCGAGGAGAAGGCAAGACTGTAGAGACAGACAGAAAGCTAATGTGTGAATGGTGTTCGTGGTAGGTAGTCGTAGTAGGTAGTCAGATGGCGGTCACTCGAATCAACACGCATTACCAGCAACATGAGCGAGTATTTTGATAATCGGAAATATATGTAGGTAGGTACCTACTTGATATGCGGTGAGATGTTATTTTGAGAAAGGCTTGCAGCAGGCGATGGGAGATTTGACGCAGAGTATATGTACGGAGGTGAACCCTTCAATTCTTTGGAGATTGAATTGATTTCTATGTATCGTAGACTGGATTGAATTGATCGCATGGTAACCTTAACCGATAATTTTGACTTTGACTAATTGCGGTTGCCGTGACCCGTGATGCCATTTCCCTCCCTCCCTTTTCCCCATTGATGGATGCATCACACCAGTGCCGTAGTCTCAGGCTTTAGTATGGTCTTTGGTATGGTACAACCACTTCGCATCGAATTAGCAATTGTCCTAAATAAACCTGCTCCAACAATGCCCAGGTGTCAATCAACCCAAGATTGTTTGAAGGAGACGGAGCTTATTAGTCACGGAGTCCACCACCACGCTATGGACCGACGGACCTTTACTTACCTACCGAAGTAGACAAAGAGGCTTCGAGAAGAAAGTTAAGTTGAATGAATCGAACAAGCGGAAGATAGTCGATACTAGTACGCGGCAAACAATGATAAAAGAATACCTATGAAGATCGTAAAAGGATAGCAAGTTGATTAGTTCCTGGATGGTCGAATCAAGTGCCATCCACTTAATGCGTCTCTTGTAATGGTCGGGGGCATTGAATGAAAAAGATGTATATAAAAACACCATTCACTCGAGTACATACATACCTAGCTACATTACATTACTCTCACACATTGGCCTCATTTGCCTTGCTTATTATTACTATTATTTTGTTATTGAATATAATAATCAATTATCAGACATGTAATAATCAATACGCCTTGTACCTTTTTGTACCTCTTCTTATCTCCAGCTGTCTAGCCGTCTTCTCCTTGTATTGTCACCACTCAGTTCTTCTTCTTCTTCTTCTCCTCCTCCTCCTCCTCCTCCTTCTTCAGTCATCGCCCTCCGTCGGTCGTTTGATTTGGCAACACACAAGTTCGCATTATTACCCAAAAAACCCAAAAACCCCAAAAACCAAGGACATCCCGTCAAGGATTTGCTTTTCCACTCGTCTCCATTTTCGTCCAAGCAGCAAGCTCTGGTGGTTTCAGCACATCGCACTAAACCTCCATAAGCGAATGCCTTCGAAAGACACGGTCCATCTCAACAATCCATGAATATCTATCGTACAATATCTCTCTTCACCTTCCTCTCCATCCAACTTTTAAAACTTCACTGCGAACAATTACATACATTACTTTCTCTCTCGTTTTGTACCTCAGCTCATAATTTCGTCCCTCATGTTAGCACTTCTTCTTTTGTATTAATGAAGGTTTGTATATTGAACCGGAAACTCTTAAATCAACAATTATCAACAGAGGCCGTCCTTTCACACGAAACCCTTTCTTCCATCGTTCAGTCCCGGATTCACGAAATCCCGCAAAAGCTATAATCCAAGCACCAAGTCCAGTCTCAGTATCATCCTTTTACTGTCAACAGACTTTGTACTATCACAGGACGACCGAGCCCCCATCGGATCATCAATCCTTCCTTCAATTCAATCGACGCATTCAATTTTGAGTTTTTGTTTTCTTGCCGGAAGTCATTGATTTGACCCATTGAAGAGTTCGCCTTCTAGATTAGATCCTCATCTTTTCTACTAAAAGAAGCTTCTTGAATAGCTCTCTCGACCGTCCCTGTCAACACAAGTACAGAGCGACTAGACACTCGTATTCTTGTTGCACCAACAATTTAGTCGAACCTAAACTAAACTATTGATCGTCAAGTGCCAAGACTATCTGTTGACAAATTTACTATTTCAACAGATAGCAATCTCGATTTCGGAAGCAAAAGATCTGTCATCTCTCGTACATAATCGAGAGAATTTAGCAGATCGAATAATCTATAATGTCAAATAAGAGATCCGAACATCCTAATCTAACCCATCTACCTCCGTCGGCCGCTGGATTCCCCAGATCGGGTTCCTCAACGGCCAACACCTCCCCCACCGAAGCTTCGACAGGACTTCCTTCCTTGAGATCACCATATGGCGCCTTACCATTAAATTCTGCGGGCAAAATGGCCAGCAACACGCGATCGGGAGCTGGTTCTCCTTCGCATGATCAGCTTAACACGCAGTCAAGTGCTAATAGATATCCCCCAACCGCAAAAAGGTATGGTTTTGTTTTACAGTTTGATTATGACTCAAGTACTGATGTTGTTATCGACAGGACACGAGAAATTGTGCAAGAAGGGGGGTTCAACAGTAGCAATGTATGGGGACCTCCAACAAGTGGCAACTCTACCCCACTTCGAGAAACTATACCAGAGTCTCCTACGGATGGATTTCCAGACTTTGCCCAGTTACCAACGACAGAAACGATACCAACACGTCGAGGTCGTGCTGGCACACTCCCATCTCGATTTTCGTCAGGGGGGCCTTTGAATGCAGCTCCAGGTCTGGGTCTCGCATCGAAGACATCAAGACCCACACCATCACAGAGTCCATTCCAAACTACAACGGCAAATCTCGGCGATCTGGGAGATCCGTCCACAAGCACAGGGTTGTTGAATCGATTACGTTCGGGCTCAACCCCTCAAAATCCCCAATATAAAACTTCGCCTTTTGGTCACCCGTCACTTTTCACCAATTGGGGTCCATCTTCAGGCGGTCGTGAAAGGACCTCGACCTTGCATAGCATTGCTAGTCAATCCTCTAACGGCATTGACTCCCCTGGACAATCTTCATTCTCAAGAGACGGAAACAATGATGATAAGATCAGGACTCTTGATTACCTTGGTCTTGCTGAAACTCCACAACCTCCTCGAGCACAACTATCAAATCCAATCTACAATCTCATTGATGCGCACAAGGCAAATCGTTTCCGTTCTTACTCTGTCAACGCCAAGGAGAAGTATGCTGAGGATGAAGATGATGACGATTATGGCACAGGTGCCTTGACGCCCTACGAGCAGGCACAAGCAGCTCAAGCTCAAGCCGCTGCTATGCTTCATATGCAGTTGGCCCAGAATAGTGAGCAAATGCAGCGACACCAGCAAATTATGCAGCAGTATGTTAGCCAAGCATCTGCAAGCAGACCCAGAGCTAGAACTGCCGGTGTTCTCGACTCACCAAATACAAGGTTAATACGTGACTATTATCCTACAGCGTCGTCTCGTCTTGGTAACACTATTACTGCCTCAGAGTTGAGAGAAGCAGATGAATTCTCGGGTCTTCCAGAAGCTGTCGCCGCAATGAGTCTAGGACGTTCAAATAACGCAAATGAACACCTTTCACCCAATGACAATTTGGAGGGGCCAACTAGTGCTCTTTGGCTTGGAAGCATTCCATCATCAACAACTACCTCTACCCTCACAGAATTGTTCAAAGTTCATGGTCCAGTTCAGTCCGCAAGGGTTCTCACACACAAGAATTGCGGGTTTGTAAACTATGAACACGTTGACAGTGCCATAACGGCAAAGGCCTTGATGCACAACAAGGAAATTTTCCCAGGAGCAGGACCAGTTAGAATCAACTTTGCTAAACCTGTATCTCCAGCAACAACACCAGGTCCTGATGGAGCATTTCCTTCACCAAGCCCAGATCCTTTTTCCAAGGGTTTGGACTCTGGTGCAAATGTGACCGACGCCAATGGTGCCCTGGGTGCCATATCAAGACCTGGAACTACTGAACCTCCTTCACCACGACTCCAAGACATTGAGATTGATATTCTGAACATAGTTTCCGAGTTCGGCGCCACTGCGGAGGATAAGGTCAAGATTGGCCAAAGCCTCAAATCTTCTATCTCATACGATAAATGGCAGTCTGAGATACCAGCAATCGCAGAACCAAGCCACAGTAGAGTTCACGATGCTCCTAAGCTCAGAGATATAAGGAAGCGCATTGACAATCAAAGTTGTTCACCAGCTGAGATCGAGACTATCGCCATGGAAATGCTCGAGGAAGTTGCTGAATTATCGTCGGACTATCTCGGAAATACTGTTGTCCAAAAGTTGTTCGAACATTGCTCCGATGACACCAGAGACCTTATGCTTCAGCAAATTGCCCCCCATATGGCAGAGATTGGTGTGCACAAAAATGGTACTTGGGCAGCACAAAAAATCATCGATGTATGCAAAACGCCCAAGCAAATCACTCTGATAGTTCAGAATCTCGCGCCATACACTGTGCCATTGTTCCTTGATCAATACGGTAATTATGTTTTGCAATGCTGCTTGAAATTTGGTTCGCCTTACAATGATTTTATATTTGAAGCCATGCTTAGCAAAATGAAGCCTATTTCCGAAGGTCGATATGGCGCCAGAGCTATGCGAGCTTGTCTCGAAAGTCATCACTCTACCAAGGATCAGCAACGAATGTTGGCAGCCGCCATTGCGTTACACAGTGTTCAGTTGGCTACCAATGCCAATGGTGCTTTGCTCTTGACTTGGTTTTTGGACACCTGCACCTTCCCACAACGTCGATCTGTTCTCGCACCTCAATTAGTACCAAACCTTGTCCACCTTTGCAAGCACAAGGTTGCATATCTCACCGTACTCAAGGTCATTAACCAAAAGTTAGAGAACGATGCTCGCGATCAAATCTTTCAAGCATTGTTCTTTTCAAAAGATGACGAAACTCTCGAAGCCATTTTATCCGACCAAGCTTGTGGTGCTACCTTGATTTTCAAAGTCCTTACTACTCCATTCTTTGACGAGTCCATTCGAAGCAAGGTTGTCGAGAACGTTCGAAACGTTTTGCTTCGTCTCAAGGCGCAACCAGCACAGGGTTATAAGCGTCTCATGGATGAGGTTGGATTGTCAACTCGTAACGGTAGTGCCGGACCAAGCAGAGAGCACAGTCAGCAACAAGCAATTGACCGTACTCGACCCGGATCACAACAGAGTCAAGCTACCGGTCAAATCATGCCTCAATCGCAATACGGTTCCAATCAATACTATCCACAGATGCAACAAAATCCACAAATGCAGCAAAATGCATATGACATGGGCATGGGCATGCAAAGGACTGACAGCATGGATTCCAATGTTCAACCTTTCCAACAATTTGCACTTCAAAGTTCAATGTTTCCACAATCGTCTACGCCCATGATGCAACCAATGAATATGCAACAATTTCAATACCAAAACATGAACATGGCACGAGGTACTCCTCCGATTGGCAGCTACTATCCTACCATGCAATCAGGGTTTGGTGCGTTGAGTAGTCCACAATTGATAGATCATTATCGAGGGATGCAAAATGCCAGCCCTATCCAACCCCCATCTCAGCAAATGAGCCCTGGACCAATGCTAGGACAAAGCTCATTTGGAGCTCCTGGTCTAAACAACATAGGAATGGGTATGGGAGCATATGGTTTCAATGGTTTGCCTACACAGAACATGCAGTATATGCAAGAACCAGTCAACAATCGACGTGGAAGAGTAAGTTGAATTTCTGGTCTAATACAAAGATACAATTCTAACTTTGCTTACAGAGATAAATGCACAAGATGAAAACAAAAGTTTGTTTTATGGGAATCGGAGTTTTGCTTTACAATTTCTCAACTCTATACGAACGATGAACCAACTTCTTGCCTTCACGACCAGTATCAAATCTTTGAAGACCGACGATTTTGCCCAGGCGTCAAAATCGTTTTCGACCAAAACCAATTTTATGTTCCATGTATATTGTTTATGTTTCTAAAAGACTTATGATAAGAGATTTTTCGGGGATGTTTATTTCTTTTAGTTTTTAGCTGTGATGAAAACAGCAATTTACTATTCCCTCTGATGCATGAATGAGTCATGAGTGGGTGGGGTGGATCGAACGGGTAGTTCTCGGCGTTGTAGTGATCATTGATCACAACAGGAAAACGAGAGCTTAAAGATATCTCGGACTGCAATGTCCGTGTTATCGAGGGGAATGAGATTGACTTCTAATCGAAAGATTCAGAGCAGAAACAGGTATTGGAAAGCCGATCAACAATTGATGATGGGCGTCCTAATACGTCAAGTTCTACTTATCCAAGAAAGGGTTCTTGACGGTGTGCTTAGCACTTACTAGCTTGGATCCAGCACGCCTAGATCGCTCTTTCGCAATGAGCATTACAAGATGAAAACGTAACAGGAACTTGGCTTGTGGAGCACTAGGATTTGGTATGGTGGGATAAAATGACATGATTTGGAAAGGCGTATAAATAGGGTGTGGGGAAGTTGATTTTCAAGAAATGTCCCAAAAAAACTCTTAAAACGCTAAAATGAAAAAAAAAATTGCAAAAGAAAGAAATGATAGATGGCGTGTATTATTGATTGTATATATTGTTGTAGTGTTATTGTTAATTGATAATTGTTTTGAGCTTTGGGACTTGATGATAAATGGCGAGATGTGAAGTAAACAAGACTTGGAGATGTGTGGGGGATCTCAGTCATTTGTTCTTCATGATTTGCTTCTGCTTATTCATAAATAACACCTTGCACGTTATGCTCTCTTACATCTTCTTACCATAAGTGATAGGAGACTTTTATGGGTTTAAAGAGAGAAGAGGAGAGGGGGGGGGGGGTGAGGGATCTAGTTTTCATTGTATAGTTACTGTTTATTACTTACTTCTTACTGCTTATTAGTGTAAGGATGGGGATGAGTATGAGGATTGGTTTGAGTATAGGTTTGAGTATGAGTATGAGTATGGTATGGTATGGTATGAGTATGGTGTGTATAGTGGGAAGTTGTCTTGTTTTGTATTGTCTTGTCTTGGGTGTTGCTTTGAGTGTTGCTTTGAGTGTTGCTTTGAGTGTTGCTTTGAGTGTTGCTTTGAGTATTGCTTTGAGTGTTGAGTGTTGCTTTGAGTATTGCTTTGAGTATTGAGTGTTGCTTTGAGTGTTGCTTTGAGTGTTGCTTTGGATTTTAAGTGTTATTTTAAATTTTGAATATTGAATGTTGAATATTGAGTTTTGAGTTTTGAATATTATTTTGAGTATTAAATATTGCTTTGATTGTTGAATATTGAGTATTAAGTATTGAGTATTGAATATTGAGTATTGAATATTGAGTATTGAGTATTGAATATTGAGTATTGAATATTGAATATTGAGTATTGAGTATTGAGTATTGATGTATTTGTATTTGAATTTGAATTAGGATGGGATGGATGGGGTGGATGGGGTTTTGATTCGGATAGTAGGGGAGGGAGAATTTTGAAAGCTTTATGAATTTGTTTATTTATTTGGAAGGGGATGGGAAGGGGAAGGGATGGGGATAGGGATGGGGGAGATGGAGGATTATTGTTAGGTTTGATTTGGTATTCGTTTGTTGATTTACTTATTCAGATGGTAGATGGTAGATGGTAGATGGAATGTTGAGGATTTGAGGATTTGAGGATTTGAATGATTGAGGGGTTGTTGAGAGGGAGGGAAGGAGAAGGGGTGGGAATAGGGATGAGGGAGAGAGGAGAGAGGAGAGGGAGAGAGGGAGAGAGGGAGAGAGGGAGAGGAGAGAGGGAGAGAGGGGAGAGAGGGAGAGAGGGAGAGAGGGGAGAGGGAGAGCGGGAGAGAGGGGAGAGAGGGAGAGAGGGAGAGAGGGAGAGAGGGAGAGAGGGAGAGAGAGGGAGAGGGGAGAGAGAGGGGAGAGAGGGAGAGAGGGAGAGAGGGAGAGGGGGAGAGAGGGAAAAGGGGTTGTTGGAAGGGAGTTGTTGGAAGGGAGTTGTTGGAAGGGAGTTGTTGGAAGGGAGTTGTTGGAAGGGAGTTGTTGGAAGGGAGTTGAGATATCGAGAGAGGATTATTGTTGGACTTGAAGAAGGTTATTGAAGGGCTCTTATTGAGTAGTTTGAAGGAGGATAATTTGGGACAGCCATTGTGGATTTGAATTGGGATGTCCAAAGTGTTTGATTGTCGTTCGAATGGAGATATCGAAAACTATCAATATGATTGCTCGATGTGCAATTTATTGCGATCATCACACAGCGCGCAAACACATCAGATTCTATCTGTTGATATGTATTTGAAAATTGGGCAATCTCTAAGTAGAGTTATGTGGAAAAGTAGTAAATTCTTCTTTGAAAGTTTGGGGTAGGTATTTTGGATCTTTTGGTCTTTGATGTGAAACTTTAAGAACCAGAGATAAAATATCACGGATTCAGGAGATGTCGACAAAGGAATAGAGGTACAAAATAGAAGTTGCAGCAAGGAGAAAAGCAGGATGGCTACATTATCTCTGATATCACATCATGCAGAATAGAAGTATAAATGGTTCTTGTTTTGAGAAATGCTTTGGAGCTTGGGATAGATACTTCGCATAAGCATCTTTGTTAATGACAATGCGAATCTGCATGAGATTTTTAGTATGGGCATGGCATCTGGGTCTATGAGACATCTGCATTCAAAATACGAAGCAAACGGATTTGATAAGCCTCATATTGAGGTTCCCCGCGGTATACGAAAAGCACTTCAGGATGCGTTTTGGGAGGCTGATTTGAACATCTCAGCTCGTTACGAACAATTGACGAAAGGAGACATTGCTTCTATCGATATCTGTCTACATCTCTTCATCTACTTCCATCTCCCTAGAAACTTAATACCACCATCGATCTCCAGGAAAGAAATACGAACAAAAATTATTAACACAAGTCGTTACGTAAAATTCTATCATATTCGTTCTCTTTGACTCGGGTCACGGTATTGAGGCGGAAACTAACACGGGAAGACGGGAGGTAATGATTTGAATACTCGTATATTCTTACCCAAGAGCCAAGTTATCAACCTGCTGTTACACACATATATGTTCTCCACGACTGCACATTATCTCCAAGATTATGGCGTGAATGCGTGACACGTGATGATTTTGATTACCCCTCATCCGACGCATTCCACGCATTCATCAATGTCTCACCACTTATCATCCCGCGCCCCGCGCCGCAGCAGATTCTGGATATAGGGCTGAAACATATATCCATTATTAGCAGTTGCTAAAAACCATCTGGGTCCCCGAAAAATGTCTATTATCGGAAGATGTCGTGATTGGATTTCTTTCATCTCAGCTCCGAGCGCTCCGCAAAGTTTCAGTTGGTGATGGTTTCGCCAAGAACAAATTGAGGAGAAGATGGAGGAGGCGGGAGAGGCGAGGTAAGTGTGAGAGACACGTCATATGGCGTGTATTTTTGGTGGGGAGATGCTGATAGAATACTTAGAGTAATAAATGTGAACAGGTCTGAATTTGCTTGCTGGCGAGAGGTGAGCTAGGTACCTAGGTAAGCTTACTATGGAAAACGTCGACCATCAAAACATTATTCGTGAAAGTACGATAACAAGGTGTTGAGGTATTGGTGCTTATGGGTAAATGCATGATTTCACGTCGTACAATAACCCATCCACATTGCACAAGCCTAAATCCGAATATCAAAACTGGAAACGCATTCGAGAATCGAATGATCTCGTAATATTTACACCAACCGACAACCTCGTCTCGTACATACTCTTGGTTTGTCTCAGTGGAATTCGGGTTCCATCCCAGCCATATTCAGATGAGCCTCATGCCTCAAAGTTCTCACCTCTTCTCATTACATGAGAGAATGCTTCGTGGTCTAGTGATCGCCAGTGTAATATTTGGTGAAAGAAGCTTATTTTAAGCCCCATTCTAAGCCTGCTCAGGAATTTGAGCATGTTCTAAGATTTTGGACATCATACAAGCGCAAATCATGCTCGGATCTAAGCCCATCTTCGTATGCAAATGTCAAGTGATATTGTAGCTGAAAGTTCAATTGGTAAAGCTGCGTGTTGTCGGATGCCTTTGATATGTGATTTTGACGTTTGAGAGATAGGATATGGTGAGAACTTGAATTGCTTTGCTAGGGTTCAGTCTTTGATTTGGATACCTACACGAACTGCACGAGCTGCCTGGGTATGCTTATTTTGAGATCTGGGGTGAACAAGGTGAGTGCTTGTTTTAGTGACAGTACCATTGCGGCGGAGACGTGGATGAGATGGTGATGTGAGACTTTGTTGGGGCGTGCTTATGAGTTTATATCTATTGGGAGGTTATTTGATGACATAAATATCTGGGAGAAGTATATATAGATGCTCATCTTCCTCTTCCATATTCATCTTCACAATCGCAATCAATACATCACTTCACACTACATCAAACTTGCACATCACCATCAACAACCAACAATCAAACCCTCCAGCTCAACACTCACACCACATTTTAACTCCACCCCAAGATCAAAATGTACTTCACAACTATCGCTACCCTCATCACCTCCCTAGCTCTAACCTCTGCACTCCCTCTCTCTCCACCTCTCAACACAGCATCTCTCACCTTCCACGGTGCAGCAGGCGCTCAATACACCCTATCCGTTCCACTCGATGGTTCGACTACTAGTACCAACAATGTTTTGAGCATTTCTTCTATCTCCACGGATGGCTTTGATGTGCAGAAGAATTGTAAGATTCATGCTGTGGATTACACACCCGCTTTGGTTGTAAGTTTTGGCTCTATTTATCATCGACT